GAGCTCCTATTATTCACCCGGAGCCTTTCTCATGGAATGGTAAAGTGTGAATCAGTATTTGCTGTTTAATGCTGACCTGTCCACTGGTCTCGAAACCATCTTCATGACAAGTTTAATAAAACACTAAAGGGGTTTTGGTTAATTAAGGCACCCAGTGCTATCTCCTTTTTTGAGAGGTATTTGGGAATTTTTATTTTTTTAAGATTTTATTTATTTATTTGAGAGAGAGAGAGGGAAGAGGGGCAGCAGAGGAGGGAGAGGGAGAGAATCTCAAGCAGACTCCATGCTGAGCATAGAGCCTGACACTGGGCTCGATCTCACGACCCTGAGATCGTGACCTGAGCCAAAGCTAAGAGTCGGACGCTTAACCGACGGAGCCAACCAGGTGCCCCAGGATTTGGAAATTTTTGAGAAGTTTAAGGACAGAAGTTGAGGAAACAGAAGGGATGGGTGTGGTATGGAGATTGCCTTAAAGAGGAGACCTGCCCTCTACTCTGGAAGATCTGCTCCTGGTTTTCCCTGGAGGCCAGTTGGGGAAGGCTCAGCCTTCAAGTGCGGCCTTTTCATTTTACATTGCTGCCAGTGTCTGAGTGCCTGTGTGTGTCCTCATGCACGACGTACAGAAGGTCCAGGTGATAGAAACCCTAGGGAGTGTCTGCTATTCCTGAGTGGAGAGAGACAGAGCTTGGGTTCTGGTCCCCCCCTCCTTTATCAGCTGCTGAGCCGAGGACACACTTCACCTCTCTGAACATGAGTTCGCTCATCTGTGAAGTGAGGGGCGGGGCTGGCTCATTTCTAAGTGTTTTTCCACTTGAAGTCTTCGAGCCTGTGGTTATTTCCTTTTGCTCATCAACAGCCAGCCCTTCTCAGAAGTCTGTTTAGTCGAAAGCTTGGATGTTGGCATCAAATTTGAGCTTTAGAGGGGTTGGACCATGTCAGGCTTCCTTGTTTGGGACAGAAGAAGACCACAGATCCACTCAAGTCATCACCTGATGCTCAGATTCAGGGCCAGTGCTGGGTTAACCAGCACCTTGGTGACAATCAGGAAAAAAGCATCCCCTCTGAGTGGACTCAGTGCAACCGGGGTTGGGTCCACGGCCTGACAAGTGGAATCCTGGCTGCTTTCAGCCACGAGCTCCCAGGAGTCCTCGTGCTGTGCAAGAACTGCATAAACGTTAGCAGAGCACTCACTTCTTTGGGCTCCGGCTACTGGAGGTAAGGAGTAAAAGAAGTTGCCGGAATAGATGCATGCCATTGATATGACGGAAGGAGACTTTTATAATACAGTTAAAAAAGCTGCAAGTCTGGGCCTACAAAGTCCCCAGATCCTACACGTACACAGTCTGTCAAGTTGGTAGCTTCAAGAGGAAAGATTAGTAATAATAATAAAACAACTTACATTTCTATAGAAACTTGCAGTTTATGGAGCACATTAAATGTATCTTTCTTTTTCAATTTGGTTCTGATTCTAACTATTGCTCTGGAGAGTAACAATTATCGCCATTTTTTTTTAAAGATTCTTATTTATTTCTTTGAGAGAGAGAGATCGAGAGAGAGCACGAGCAGGGGGAAGGGCAGAGGGAGAAGCAGGCTCCCACTGAGCAGGGAGGCCAATGCAGGGCTCGATCCCAGGAGTCCTGGGATCATGACCTGAGCCAAAGACAGATGCTTAGCCAACGGAGCCATGCAGATGCCCCCAGTTATCCCCATTTTACATGTAAGGGAGATGAAGCTGAGAGATTCAAAGACTTGTCCAAGGAAAGCTAATAAGTGGTCAAGGCCAGAATTGAACCCATGTGTGTCTAGTTCCAAGTTCAAGGTTTTTTCCCTCCATACTGGGTCACATAATTTCGTGATCTGGGCCATGGCAGCCAGACCTAAAGTACTATTCTATCAGGGTTTAGAATTGGTCTGAGAAAGTCATCCTTCTTGTTCTGATGATGGTAGGACTCTCCCATACAGATACAATTACTAGACTTGGGATATGAATTCTGGAGAGGTCTTGGCAGATCTTAGAGTTGAACTAAAGTATGCATTTCTCATATGATGAAGTGATTTCTGGGGATTCACTTGTTTGGTTAAATGTATCTGTATTGCCTGTGTACCATTAACACAAGATACTCTCCAACATTTTAGGTATCTCACAAGGCATCCTGGAAAGGCCTTGGAAGTCTAGAGAGAGTCACCTGGGAGTCACCATATGGTATGAAAATAATATCTCTAGGCCAATCATTATTGGCCAAATCTAAGACTTTTCAGTGTTCACATGGTCTCACTGATAGTGTTATTAACAGGCTCCCTTAGCCACCTTCAACACTACTTTTATGCACAACATTTGGGATAGTTAAATTGGAGCCCCCTCCATCTCTCCCTGAACTCCAGACCTGAATACCCATGACCTACCATGTATCTCCACCTGGGCATCTCCTGGGCACATCTAACCTAAATTCGTGTAAAGTGTTAATAGATGCCTTTGCCCACAATCCACTTCCCAAGCCTGCTGCTCCCTTAGTTCATATGATTTCCATTCTGGACATCACACTCCATCCCACCCATCTCCAGCTCCATACCTTATAATCATCCTCTGTTCCTTTCACTCCTCCCTTACCGCATTCACTTGGTCACGAGATGTACTTTGACTCTACTTCCTAAATACCATTAACATCCATTCCCTTTCCTTCGTTCCCACTGTCATGATCTTAGTTGAGGTCCTCCTTATCTCTGCTTCCTATCTCTCCAGGCCAGCTTCCATCCTGGCCATCAGTTGTCTCTCCAAACACAAGTCTGACCACACCCTTTCTCTGCTTAAACACCAAAAATGACTTCTTAGTATACCACTGTTACCCCCATTACTTGCAGTTCTTCCAACATGCCCTTGACTTTGCATATACCCTTTCCTCTGCCTGAAATACCCTCTCCCTAATCATTTCCTAATCATTTCCGACACCTTGCTCATCCATCATTCTTGCAGTGTTGACTTCCAGGTAATTCCTAGGGGAGTTTATCACTCTCTCCTTTGGATCATTTCAGTGTCCCATAGCTACTGCAACTATAATGTGTATTATTCTTTTTTTTTTTTTAAGATTTATTTCTTTATTTGAGAGAGAGAGAGAGAGAATGGGAGGAGGGGCAGAGGGAGAGAGAGAATCCTGAAGCAGACTCCCTGCTGAGCATGGAGCCCAATGCGGGGCTCCATCCCAGGACCCTGAGATCATGACATGAGCCGAAATCGAGAGCCAGCCACTTAACCGACTGAGCCACCCAGGCGCCCCAACTATAATGTGTATTATCCTGAACTATAGTTTGTTTCTGTATCTTGTGTCATTTATCAGATTGTGGGTCCTCAAAAGCAGAAACGATCTCGTTATCTCTGGATTCCAAGGACCTGGCATGCTGCCTGGCACACAGTAGGTATAGTAACTATTGTATGAATGAAGTTAGTAACTTAGCTTTTTGAGTGTTTATTATTCTCTTGAGTTTAGTATTCATAGAAAAGGGCAGAAGTCATTCTCTCTTTATTCTACCGGCTAAATATTGACAAAGTATGGAGGCTGGAGAAACATTTGTTTTGTCCTGTATTTCTTTCCTAGATTGTATCTTGGGTGGGACTGGGGAGCCAGAATTTCAGAGGAAATGAAGGACTCAATCAGATTTCCCTGCACAGCTGCTTTGTTAGCCCAGCACTGGGCAAAGGGGAGGCACATCAGAGTAGGAGATTGATGGTAAGACCCTTGCTAAATTCTTTGGAACTTGACAAATGACACATCAGTGGTACTTTTCAGGCCTGTTCCTTATAACTCAGGGCTCTCCCATTATTCATCCGGACTTCAAAATGAGGGTTCCTTAAAATTAGCTTCAGATTCTTACAAACTTTAGCTGAGTGAATGAAACGCAGCCGCTTTGAAGGAAGGTGCTTCTGAGGAAGGAGTGATCTTCTCAAGTGCACCATTCCTCCCCTTCCTCATTGAACAGAATCTGCGGAGCAGTCAGGCAAGGTAGCCAGCATGCGGGCTGCCAGCCGTCTCCCTGAAATTAGGGCAGTGCTCCTGTGGGTTGGTTTCCCTTTCGGTTAGGCAGGACATGTGTTCCTACTAGCTAACGTATATAGTTTATTTAACTCAATTATTACACAATGTATGCTGGGAAGCTCTTAAACATACTAGGGAAACGATCTTTTTGTGTCCTCTACCTTCACAGGTGAGCTGGGGGGCTGGGAGTGGGACCATTTAGAGACTCAAAGAAATTAAGTAAGCAATCTGTGTCACAGTAAATCCCCCAGAGGCTCAGAGGCTAGCAGACAGGTTCCCATTCCTGGCTCCAGGCCATATTTTCGTTTCGGCTGGTTTCTTAGCCCTGTTGAAAATTTGCCTTCACTTAGAACAATTGAGAAACATCAACGACTGAGGTGCTTTGTAGTGGGTCTCAGGCCTTGACTTTTTCAGTAGCAAGTAGAATGTCGTGCTGTCCCAAAGCTCCTACTGGCAGGCAGCATTGTCAACTGGACTAAGAGAACTCCACCCCAATCCCCCACCCCCAACCCATGTCACTCAGCCCAGAAGCAGATGTCAGCTTGCTGAGAATCCTCGAAAAGAAGGGAAACAAACTAGAACCAGAGTCGTGAAGGACCAAGGATCCTTAAATCTCACTTATCTCTGGGGCTGGTCAATCCTTATAAAGAAAGAAAGTGAGCTAGAAGTTCCCTTCCCAACAGAAGGCAACTTAAACCACACGCACACACATACCTTAAAATGTATTAAAACACACACACACACACACGCAGCTTAAGATATGTTAACACAAACACACAGTCTTGAGACTCACCTTTCAGTCCACCGGAGGGCTTCCTGCAGGCGCGGTGGCTCAGGGGTCTCCCGCGCGCGCGGCCCGTCTGACAGCGACGGTCCCGGGTGAGGTGAAGGTCCGGGTGCGGAAGCCCGCCCCCCCCGCGTGGAGCCAGGGGCCGAGTCGGGGGCTCAGCGGGGGCCAGGCGCCGCGCGTACCTGCCGCTGGCCTGGAGGAAGGCACCCTCTGCGTTCTCTGCCCTCCCTCGGGCCGATGCCTCGCATTTTTGAGGTTTCACTCCAACTCCGTCCTGCCCCTGATGTCAGAGACACAACTTCCTGAATCAGACTCGCCCTCTCTCCCGCCGCCTGGGCTCGGCCCCAGCTCCCCTCCCGGGCCCACAGACCGCGGGTGCCCTTGGACTCGGCGCACCCGCCCCGACGCGCCCTCCTCCCGGTCTCCAGCCGCCCCCCGCCCCCGCCTCGCCACGCCGGGCTGGTGCCCCACTAGTGTCGGAACACGCCTCCTGCGGGACCCGCGCCCTCCCCGCCCGCCACGCCCGTCACCAGTCCATTTCACGGACGCACCAAGTTCCCGGGACCTGGGACACTTCCGGGGAGACTCGGCTTAGGTGAAGACAGCCCAGTTTTGCCTAAGAGAGCAGCCTTTTGGCAAGGGAGTGGAAGGCATCTGGGAGGGAGGCCATGGGACAGATTGGGTGAAGGCTCCCAAGCCTTATCTGGACGAACAAAACAACCAGCTGCCTTATTCACCCGCTGGATGCCTGGGGGGGCGGGGGGGGGGACGGTGCACGCAGTCTTGGTGCCGCTCCCTGAAGGCTGTAAGGAAAACCCTGCACCATCCTGGGCTGTCAGAGTAGAGATGGAGGGGGAAACTGCCTGCACAAAGTTCTCAGAGGTTCTTCCCTGTTACCCTCAGTTGCCCCCCACTCACTTTTTATTCTGATTTCTGTGGGTCCAGTTTGGAGCACCTGGAACTCTAGAAAATGAAAGGGCCTGTGCCAGGGTTGGGTGCAGGACTCCAGACAGGAAGCTTCTGATGACCCTTGGCAGGGAGATTGTTCAGTGTCTCCAAGGTTACTGGGGGGCAGGCTGGGGGGAGTGTGATGCCAGGACCTTGCCCTGGAGGGGCCTCTTCAGAGCCATCTGGGGAAGTCCTTCCATGACATAGACCTGGGGTGCTGCCCACTTGACCATATTTGCCAGGTGCTCAGGGACCAGGTGCCAGGTGCTGAGCAGGGTCTTGCCCTCCTCTGCAGGTGGGAATTAAAATGACTCTTGCAGTCAACTATTTTTTTTTAGAGATTTTATTTATTTATTTGACAGAGAGAGACACAACAAGAGAGGGAACACAAGCAGGGGGAGTGGAAGAGGGAGAAGCAGTCTTCCCGCTGAGCAGGGAGCCTGATGTGGGGCTGGATCCCAGGCCCCTGGGATCATGACCTGAGCTGAAGGCAGACACTTAACGACTGAGCCACCCAGGCGCCCCGCAGTCAACTATTTCGAATGAGGAACAAGAGACCCCTTTCTGTTAGTGCTGGAGAAGCCAAATGGCTCTGAGTTGAAAGGCCAAAGAGAAAACCCAGCCCTTCGGTCAGAAACGCCAAAAATGATTAAGGAAAGAAAAAAAAAATGTTTTCTTCCAATGGAAGGAGATTAGATGAGACTCTTTTCCCAGAAATTCAGGTGGAGTGAACTCAGTCTAAATCTGAACAAGAAGGGGGAAAATGGGTTCTAGAAGCAAGTGGGCTAACAAGTAGTCCCAGCAGAAATGGGAAGGTTGGGCTTGTAAGCCTGTTTGGAAGTGTCCAGACTGAGAACCTTCCCTTAGTCGATGGGTTTACCACGCTGCCCAAAAGCTCCATCTGTGATCACACTCTGAGCCTGCAACTGTCTACCTACATAGAGTTGGTTCCTCTAAGACTCCTGGAACTTAAAAGCCAGGGTGCAGAGTCTGAGGGCACTGGGGAAGCCAGGTGGGGGTGGTGGGGTGGCTGGCAGTGAGGCCTTGAATGCTGGTCAAAGGATTGGGGAATGGATATTTTCTTCCATCTTAAGAAAGGACATGAGATACTGTGTCAGGTGCTTTACACATATCATTGAATCTTTCACAACACATTTATGAGATGTAGTATTCTCCTCGTTTTATGAGGAAACAGGTTCAGAGAAGTGAAGCAACTTCCTCAGTGTCATAGAACTAATAGATGGTGAAGCTCAGATCTGAGTTCCAGTGTTTCTGAACCCCCACTCCATGCTTTTACTACTATGCCATCAAGTAGAGGGGGAAATCGCCTTTTGGGAAGGAACTCCACACTTGAATAAGGGTAATGTTCAGCCCTGCAATGAGTCCTATTGAGGGAACGCTACAGAAAATACTTTTCTGGAAATCTAGAGCAACATTACAGATTGGCTATGGCCTAAGGGGCAGTTACTTAGGGTTGCCTTTGAGAGGAAACAGGAAGAAACCAAACCAGAGAAATGGAGACAATTGGCTTGAGCTGAGGGCTTCATGGACATAGTTTTAAATGGTAGAAAGAAAATCAGAATCCTATCCATAAGGTAGTATCTCTGTGATGTCTCAGTTAAGCAAGGAAAGCCAACAGCTTCTGGGGCAGAGAAATCAGTGATTCATGGGTGAGCAAGATGGCGGATTGGCTCATACTCGTTTGCTAAGGCTGCAAGGTCTGCTGAAGGGCTAACACTACTAAGAAGATGCAATTATGGTAGAAGAAAAGGAGTGGGCATCTGGCCACATATTCTCACACTGGGTAGGTGATGTATCTCTTACTAAAAGGCAGGTTAGAGCACCCACCTACTATTTTATTCTTTTGGCAGTTAAATCCTAACTTCGATGAACTCATAAATGGCCTTGGGCAACCTCAGTGCTGTTACATTTTGCTTAATCCTCATTATTTCTCATGTTTTCAGTAGAGATATTTGAAGGTGGTCAAGGGGTTAGTGGGCTCTAAATGGAGTGAATCAGAGCATTAACATCTAATTAAAAAAAAAGAGAGAGAAGCCAAAATAAGCAGATATGTGAACTGAGACTAGAAATTTGAGTGATCATCCCCTACTAATTTTAGCACCTGGTTTCACATTAGTATGTTGGGGACAAAAGGCTTCCCTTTCAGTGTTGTGAAAATCAATAGGGTATTTAGTATCCAACCATAGCCTGCTAGGAAAATGAGGACTGACTACACTTGCTTTTCTTTCTTGGCAATGCCCTGTTTTAGCCAGGTTAGCTTGCACTATTGGGCAACATCGGTCCACCTTGTGCTGCATCAATCCACATTCTCCCACCAGTTTGCAAATGCCCTGAGTCTAGAAGCCACATCGAAGATAATGTGTGTGCGCCCAGGACAGTGCTGCTCCCAAATGGGCATATTCTTCAGGTATGGAAAATATTACATGGAGAATCTTACTCTCCCCTAAAACTGTGGCATATTCTTACCTGTGACACTTGGGTGAAGGTCTAGAAGCGTAAACAGGGCTCCAGAAAGTCACAAAACGGCAGCCCGGACGCTCTGAGGAACCGACTGGAAGTCAGAAGGGCTTCTGACAAGGCGCAGGCTGTTAAGAGGGAATGATCCGCCTATAAATGGTGTGGATAAGATAAGCACAGACTTGTTCACCAGATCCTGAAATATAGCGGCGCCTTGGAACCACGAGAGGGGCAAGTTCAAGACAAGTCAGCGGAAATACTATACCGCATAGCAGGTAAAGAATGTATGGAATGGATTATCTTCCAGAGGTGGCACAAGCTGGAAACCTAAAATGGATTCCAGAAGGGTTTGGACCAATGTGGGAATGGCAGAGCCATAAAGGAGAGCTTCTGGAAGCTAAGATCTACTCCATGTGGTGGGGAGTTCGGGGTGGCCCAGCAGGCCCTTCACTGTGCGTATATGGGGTCTTTGTGGACAATACTCTTGGCCTCGCTAGAGCTGGGCTTTGAGCCAGTTGGCAGTGCCAATGCTACCTGTCCAGTCTCCAGTCTCAGTGGCCTTTGCCTCGCAAAGATAGCAAAACCCTGTGCTTTTTACCTTAGCCAAGAATTTTCTGCAGATACCGTCTTTTATTTTTAGTCTTGTGCGTGTTTCAGTTTTAGCAGGTTATCCAAAACCCAGCAAGTTCTCCAGCTTAATTATAGCCATTCTAAGAAAGCATTTCCTCTGCTCCCCACCAGCTTCCCTCACAGCCCTCTTAAAAGGCATTGCTTTTTCATTTTGGCTTTGGACTTCTAAACAGATTCGGAGAGCCCTTTTTCATACCAGTTATTATATTTACCTCTTGTGATTAGATTTCTGTTCAGACCTTCCCTTCTAAACTGTCGAATTCTGACAGAAATTACTCTAATTATGAAAGCTCCTCCGAAAAGAGCAGTGACAATATACTTTTCTTGGGAACTCTTTTTAATGCAACATCAAAATGCCTTCAATGTTGTATCCGGGATGCCAGGAAAAATACTACTTTTATGGCGGTAGCTCCAAATCTTGGCACTGGGGAAAGTTTTGGAAATTCTTGGATGTCTCCTTTGATAATCCACTTGTCTCCCCATGCATCCCTGTCCCCCACTGCATGTGCTTTGCGGTTTCTGTAGGGTTCCTGTAGATTCCAGAGCCAGAGCATCTTGCCTTACCCCTTCCAAAACTGGGGCTGATGGGGTGGGGGGCAAGTGCTTGCTTAGAAAACCCTTTGTTTATGCCTCTGGGGTGTGAAGGAGCTCAGTTTTCCTTTTCTGCTTCTGGTGCATAGCCCCCCAGAGTTGTGTCTTGGAAGCTATGTTTAAGGCCCTGTGGCTGCCTGTTCGGCGCTCTTTGTTGTGATTCAGCGTTGGCTTTGTTCAAATGGAAGCAGCAGGCCTCTGGATTCCAGTTTTCTGGCAGGGGTCTCAGGGCCGGAGGAGACCCCCACAGAGTTCTCATTTTGCCTCTCTTTGTGGTTCCCCCTTATCTTCTGCTCTTGTCTTGGGGACGGGTTTATGTATCGATTTACTGAGTGAGGCCACTGTGTGGGTTTCATGTAGCATTTACATGGACGAGATAAAACATTTCTTGCCACTTTGTCGGTGAGACATCTGGGAAACCCCAGCCTGCCCTGCCCAGCACATTCATTCTGGCAGAAGTTTTTGTGAAGGCTGGAATTGTTCATTCCTCTTGCCTCTAGGGCCCATAAAGTAACTGTGCCTTTGAAGTTTGCTTCCTTAACTAGTTCAGTGACTCAGAACCTCAATGTTGCCACCAACAAACTTCCTCTCCCTA